GCTCAGCACAGCGCAAGATGGGTGTCAGTGAGTGCATCCAGCTCCAGTCCCCCACCCCCATGTTTTTCCTTCCTCTTCCTATATTTCTGTTTTCTTCAGTTTTCTCCTGGGGTTTTGAGAATCCCTCTCCACTCCTCTGGCCCTCTCCATGTTGTCAAATTCCAGTGTCTGAGCTGTTTTTTCCAGGCAGGCTCTCCACCCAGCTACCTAGCAAGCTTGTCTTCTTGTCTACCACCTTCTTGTCTTCCTGAAATAGTGTGTTTTATGGGAAAGTTTTAGATTCCCACTTAAATTCAATTGCTGTAATTTTTTAAAAAGTCTACTATCAGATATAAAATGTCACTTTTTATATCAAATATTGTTTTTATTATGATATTTTGATATTTTGCCTTTTATATCTAATGTAATTTTTCATGTTTTACTTTTTAATTTCATTAAAGCCTCAAATATAAGATAAAAACAACCTTTCATTTAACTAATGAGCCCAACTGAACCATATTCCATTAAAAGTTCAAACTGTGCTATAGAAATGTTACCTAATTTATAAGGAATTGCAGGTTCCCTTCAACAATTATCTAAATTATTTATCTTAGATTATACACACACATATATACATATATATATATATATATATATATATATATGTATATATTTATGACTTACTTAAGCATATATAGTATACCTAAACAGAAAGTGTATTAGTAAGATTTTCGTTATTATCACAAAATACTTGAGAAAGGCAACTTAAAGGGAGAAATGTTTATTGTGGCTTATGCTTTCTGAAATTTCAATTAATGATAACTTGGCACATTTTCTCTCATTCATGGTGAAGCAAAACTTCCCAGGGGAGAGCGTTTGGGTGGAATATACTAGCTCTGCACAAAAGAGAAAAATTAAGAAAGGAGTGAGGGATGGGAGCCAAATATACCCTTCAAGGGCACATTCAGAAGGTCCTACTTTTTCCAAATACATTTCAACTCCTAAAGTTCCTACAGTCTCTCCAAAACACCATCATCTGGGGTCAGCCCTTCAATACATGAGCTTTCAGTGGATATTTAACATCCCACTCATTCTATGGAGGTAAAAATATATATTACACAAATAGTTTATTAAACAATATGTGTTCCCTTCAGGCAAATGTATTATAAATATCATAGGATTCAAATTACTTTCTTTTGATTTAAAATTATAAAATACATTTTTCTATAAAAATAAAATGTTTTAAACTTTTCCATTAGTAGTCAGAAAGGGTCTAGAATAGCTCCCATAATATTTTAAAGAGTAATCACATTTTGTAGTAATGACTGGGATGCAGCTAGGGAATCTAATGGCCAAGAGATGAGAACCGCATTTCTTATGAACACATTGAGAGTGTTTCTAGTGTGAAACTATGATTCTATCACAAAAAGAAGTAATTAGAGAAGATGAAAAAGCCGCCTTGCCGTGTTTGAAAAGAGCATTATGGTGGTGTTTACAATGACTCATTTGTTATGTGTCTCTGATATTACTGATAAATGGAAAATGGATTACATGTATTTTTATAAAAATTAGATTAGAAATTAATTATGTGTCAACAACTGAGTTAACTTATCTTTAAATGGTAATGTGAGAAAGAGAGTCTATAAAACAGTTTAAAATCTCCTTTGGAAGACACATTATATGTCTCATAATAATTCTGTCAGGTTTGTGTCAAATATCAGTTGTAAGTGAATGCACATATTGATTCTTTCAGAGTCTTCATGGAAAACAGATATACACATTTTATCAAATGTTTCATTGCTGTATTGCTTTAATGTTTATCCATTATTGCTGTTATTTTATCACATTCAACTGTTTATAGAAGATTTCACCAGAATTTAAAGTATCAGTAAGTGACAAAGCTAGGATTAAACATCGTATTTTGGTTTTACCTTGTGAAAAAAATTAAAATATCCAAGACTTTTTACAATTGTTTAGTCTATTCTACGAAATTGAATTCCAATAGTAAATGAACAGGAAAAGTTAAATAGGAGTCAACTAAATATATGAGCCATATAATAGTATAATAAAACAGTAACATTAAAATTGGACATGATAAATATTCTCAATTTTTCAAACAATAGTTACAAATATTTTTTTCAAATATTTTAAAACATGACTAAGACAGTGGTTTGCCAAAGATTATGCCTTCCTTTATAGGAATTTTCATACAGCAAAACCACAAGGTGAGGTGTTTCTAAGGTGAGGGAAAATAGGCACTCACAGGACAGGCAAGCATGTTGTGAGAGAACTATGTTCTACCAATAAGATTACAAGTGTAATTACTCAGAAAACAGTTAAATCAGGAGCAAATGGGGAGCTGAATCATGTAGCAAGCAAGCCTGAATACAGAACAGGGCATTTGTCTGTGGTGGGTTGTGTTAGTGACTTGACTTTCTCAAGATGATCCATAATTATTTAAAGTATCAATCCTTGATGTTTATCCTTAGGGTAAGGTTTCATTTGTTGAATCTTTTGTCTTGAGGTCTGGCCCACAGCAGGAGGTCTGTCTCCTCCAAGGTTGCAAGATACCTGCTTTTCTGCATTGGCTCCATCAAGAGCCAGCCCTGTCAGATTGCTTGTAATATTTCTATAGTATTTCGAACTCGCTCAGCTGCCTGTAAAATTGCCTCTGCTAAGTAACCCGAATTGCTGTGAGGGAATATTAGACAATGACCCATTTGGTTTCCTTAGGATGAAAGGAGTCTTAGATGTTGTTTGTTAATCAGAGACACTCTGCAGAGAGTCTATCTGAAGGTCCTTGATAGAAACCAGACATTTTTATCTTTGGTTGGCATACAATTTTAAGTTTGGAAAAGACAAAGCCAAGGAAACAAGTATGCATGGAACAAATAATAGAACCAATAGGATAATTATGAGAATAACTAAAAAAATTTCCACCAATAGGAGCTAGTAATGGATGCTCGTAAGGAGGATAAACATAAGGACCAGGAAATTTTAGAGTCTGACGTCTCAGCTATTGAGATATTAACAAAAGGATCAGGAATGTTCACACAACATGTACTTTTTTACAATTTACAGATATTGTGTTATTGTTAGAATTTCTAATGACATATAATTAGAATTTCTAATGACATCCAAAATTGGAGAGCAGCCTATCTCATTAATTTTTACTTCTTCAGCTAAGAGAGACAGACCTTATGCTGTGTCATTTAAGACCTGTTGAGTATAGTTAGTTAAGGCCTTGATATGTATCATGTAACTCTCTCTGGATGAGATCTGGTGGATCCCAATAAAAATAATCTAAAAGGAGATTTAAGTTTTGTTTAGAAGTAAATGAAACATAAAATTAAAATATGATTTTAAATAAAAAAACAACTGGGAAAAAGAATCTAACTCTCTAAGTCAATTTTCTGTGAATAAGGTATGGATGATTCGTGGGAGTGATTGCATTTCTCATTCACCCTGGTTATTATCTATGTAGTCCTAGGTTAAGAGTTCTAAAGTCAAAGATTTCTAGAATTTTCTTTTATTCAGTGGTTAGCAATACCATGAATTTGATGATAGTTCCTGAAGCTAAAAATAGGTAACATAGATGTGGACAAAATGAGAAACTCCTAAGGAAAAAAGTGAGAAAGAGATATTGCAGTAATGGAGAAGAAAATGGTTGTGTGCACTGACAGATAGTTAACAGAACAAACTTTAAAAAGGAAAGTGATCAAGAGATACATGGAAAGGGAGGTAAGGATGGGAAAAGGGATCAAACAAAGGCATTCAGATGTATTATGTGCATGTATCAATTTCCCACAAGAAACGCGTACATTATGAGCTACAAACATGTACTAATAAAAGAATCAAAAGAATGTTTTGCCCCCCAAAATTCCAATTGATTAATTGTCTTATCAATCATTTTATTTGAATAAGTTTTCATTGTTACTGCATCAATATGTTGTTAAAACACATGAAATTAATGTGTCTAAATGTTGAATATTTGGGATAATTAAATAGTTGAAAGGATATGTAGAGATGTTATTCCTGTGTCGTTTTCTTATTTTTTGATTCAGCTCAAAGTATTATGCATTAAAATTACATTGTTAAATTATGTGGTAACATGTACTATGTAATATTAAAATACTAATATTGCAATTTTATGTTAGTTATAATTAATGAGAAAATTAGTGAATAAAGTAGCAACAAATATATGCTATTGAATGTAAGGGTAATAGTTTTAGGAGTAAATGAGTAATCTTAAAGTATCTCAGTTTATAAAGCTGGATTATGGAAAGAAAATTTGTGATGCCAGTTTTGAAGAACCACTGAGACCATAGTACAATTTTAAAACAAATATGAGTTTTCCATGAAAATTAATAATTCTATATTTCAGTTTTAGTGATATGTAATTTGAAATCTCAACATTTTCAATGCTACATTGTAATTCTGAATATACTTAAAATTGTTCCAGTTGATTTCATTGTTTATTACTGAATATTAGTGGCAACACTTACTTTATAAGTACCTGCTATATTCATGTTCTTTTGTTAATCTTAAAAGCAAGTGCATAAGAATGGAATTAAATAGAGCTAAATATTATGCTTACACTCAGTAGGATACTTTCAACGTCATTTCAATAATTTTCACATAGTTTTCAATATTCTGCCATATGTTTAAAATACAGAGCATACTATTAACTTTTATGTAAAATTTCAAGTTTTTTAAAAATTATTCATAATACCTCTTAGAATGATTATGAGTTATATTTTAGAAAGTATTGTTTATAGCTATGTTTTATTATGAATCTACAAGCATAGAATTCTAATTGGCTCTAAGAGTTGTCTATTTTTATATAGTTGCAATATTTTGTTCACAAAATAATTACTCATAATTTAGGAACAGGAAGTAAAGTGAGATTTTGTTTACATCATCGTCCTACTGGCTAAATAAATAGTGATTTACAAAATTTAATGCATCACTGAACCCAAGCGAAAGCCTTGATTTCCTGCTAACACGTATTTTCTCTTCAGGGACATTTGTCATCCAGGTGACAGCAAGTGATGCAGATGACCCTGCTACTGGCAACAATGCTCGTCTCCTTTACAGCTTACTACAAGGCCAAGCATACTTCTCTGTTGAACCAACAACAGGTATTTTTTGAATAAGACAAAATGCAATTTGACCTCATTTTAAAGGAGGAAAATGTCAGCAAAAATTACCTGCTTATAAATGTGTTTTACATTAGACCTAAATATTAGGTAAATGAATGACCATTAATTCCTAAACATTGCATTATTCTTAGAATTTAAGCTGTTTTTCTAAGTTTAGAAGTTTGAATTTTCCATTGTCATTCTTATGTGATTTTTGTATAAAACATTTGTGTTATACAACATATGTAAGGATTCTTACTAATCAGTTAGAAAAGTGACAGCCTTACTGAAAAATATAAACAAAGGCAATTACTACTGTTTAAAAAGACGGTATGTGAAAGTTTTTTTTAACCATTTTAGTCAAAAGATACATCAAATTAAGATTATAGTGAAATACATGTTCAAATTGAAGCAGGTAAATAATAATAAGTGTGCAGGGCAGATGTTTGAATTGATGAGTTGTTCACTTGTAAAAAAAGTATTTTATAAATTTTAATTTAGATGAATACTATACTTGTGTATGCATTTCTCTAATTTGTGTTAATCTAATGCCTAATAAAATAAATATAGCATATAATGTATATATCTGTCAAACATATATTGAATATATAAAATTTATACACCAATAATTTATTTAACAAATATATGGGGTTTTTTTTTACAAAGTCAAGATTAAACATATGAGTCATGAATTTAGAAGCTGATAGCATTCAATGATGAAAGAATGTGAGAACTAATAACTAAAAAATAAAAGGAATAGAAGAAAAAATTCTATTGTTATTAGGAGGAAATTTGTTTCCAACATGTGACATATTTAAATAACTAAATCATTTTGTTGAATGTTCAAATATGTATTTATTCATTTATTTTATTAAAGTCTCAATTTTTCTCAGTGAAGGTTTCTTGAATCACATTCTAATGAATGTGATGAGTCCCTATGGTTCTACATTTTTCCAAGGATGATGCATTCATTTTATTATTTGTAAAGTATAAGAAAGATATTATTTCATTACATGTGGCAAATGTTTTAAAATATTTAAATTTAGCTGGGAATGGTGGCCAACCTGTTATCCTAGCCTTTGGGAGGCTGATACAAGAGAATTGTTGTGAGTTCAAGACCAGCTTGGGCTCCATTTTGAGTTTAAGGCCAGCCTGGACTCCATAAAAAGATCCAGTTTCAAAAACCAAACAGCAGCAAAAAATGATTAAAAGTTGATTCATTTTTAAAATACTAAGGTTCAGGCAGGAATCATGGGTAATGCCTGTAATTGCAATAAAATAGAGTTTGAAGCAGGAGGATTAGAAATTGGAGCTTAATTTGGACATACAGTGACCTTGTAGCTCAGTGTAAATGTCCTGGGTTCAATCCACAGAAAGAGGAAAAGCAAAATTGAAACATAATAGGTTTTCAATTTTTCACAGTCCTGATTGAGAAAGGCTATGCACTAGGCAGTTAAAAAAAAAAAAAAAAAAAATATATATATATATATATATATATATATATATATATAGCATTTACAGATGTAGTAGTGCCACTTTAATAAGAATAACAACTCAGAAAAAAGAATATACGCATAAAGCTTTCAGTCTAGGAACTTATGGATAGACAGTAAACATTTGAATACTAGCAAATGTGTCCATTTAATGTGTAATTTTAAAATAGAACAAAGAAGCAATGTAATTGAGAAAGCCCAGGAGAACAATGTAAGTCTGTGTGGTGGCGGAAGAGCAGAGCAAAAGCAGAATGCTCTATGGAGCCTATTCCAAAGGGAAAGATCGAGTAGAAGGACATTCCAGGCTCTGGGGGGAGATGTAACCAGAATGTTGGACTAACTAGACGGCAGTTTATATGATACTTTAGGAAGGATCTACCAGCATTCATAGCACTGTGTTGCGAAGTCTACACTCTGCATAGAGTTGATGTTGGATGTATTGTCGTTGTTGTTCTCCAGGGAAGTGTCCGTCACTATATAGTTGTCTGGCATACAGCAAAGGAATGGTTGTATGGTAGAATTCTTAAGGAGTTAATGAGGAAGGTGTAATAGTTAATAAGAAAATAAGTAATTAGAATTTTATTGTGTTTTAAAGGAATCATACGAATATCTTCTAAGATGGACAGAGAACTACAAGAAGAGTACTGGATCATTATTCAAGCCAAAGATATGATTGGGCAGCATGGTGCTTTGTCTGGAACTGCAAGTGTATTAATCAAACTTTCAGATATTAATGACAATAAGCCTATATTTAAAGACAGTAAGTAGAAAACATGGTGATTTTTCATTATAATGTACATATAAGTATGTTGAATACAGACAAGATTTCAGATAATTTAAATCTCATAACAGTTCCAAGTTATAATCAAAACTATAAAAGTCAAATACAAATAGAGTGATACGGTAAAGTGTTCTATTGATGCTCAGATAAGTTGCCACACATTCTGTGGCTTACAACTAACTAGTTATATCAAGAAATCTTGGTGTAAGTCTGTTAAGACTGGCCAAAGTGTCTGTAAGGACATTTTTGGAACTTCTAGGATAGGAAAGAAGTAGATAAAATAATATAAATATGTAAATGTGTATATATTAACATATGTTTATGTACATATATATTCAGCCATATCATGCCTTCCTGGATGGTGGTTATCTATATCTATATCTATATCTATATCTATATCTATATCTATACCTATATCTAACTGTTTTTATTGTTTTTTGTTCTCTTTTCTCCATGGCCTTACCCATTCCTCAAAGTCAAGTAAAATCACAGTCAGTGCAATGCCTCAGGTGCGGTTTTATTTTCCCTGATTTCCTTCTGGTACAATAGGGAATGATGATCAAAATAAGTTGGCATCACTTATGGCAAATTTGTTTTCACATTCTGATTTGCCATTCATTAAATGTGTATGCTTGAGAATGGCTGTCAGTGTGTGGACACATCCACAAGCATATTCTTTTGAATAATGTAGAAGCTATTCTGCTCAGATTAGTCAATTCTATCCACACTAGGATTGTCCAGTGCCCTGGCTACTGCAGAAAAAATAGCTATGCATTATGTAATGATGTTTTTTTTTTCAACAATGAGCAGAGGTCCTTTCACATTATTCAGGTCCACATTATGGACCTGAAAAATTCTTATCCCTTAGTATTTTAGTGCATCACTCTATGTTTAAATATGTGAATGTTACTGTGATACAATTGCCTATTGTTTTCCACACAGAAGATGCTATACAGATTTGTAACTTGGGAGGAACAGGTTTCCTATATAGCTGGTGTATGCAGTCTAGGTGCTCCAGGATACTGCATGATATTTGCATAGCATTAAAAACATCCCAGGACATATTTCTCAAAATATAGTTCTGTTTTTAAGTAGCAGATGGATTTATTACAAAGCCAGAGTTTTGCATCTGCTGTATCACTCAATTTTAAAATTTTAAGTTTAAAAGTTTGACATTGATATGAACAAAAAAACCACTTCTCTTTGAATGGGATAGAACTAAAGAGCAACATCTTATAACTTCAACTACATGTGGTGAAATACGGCAGAAATATTTTTCTCTGCACCATCAATTAGACTTCCTAAAGAGAAAAAATATCTAATTAAAGTTAAAATACAAGGGTATTATAAAATATTTGCCATATGATATATAGAAAATATAGTAGATAAGTACACTGAACAGGTAGTTCAAGTTCAAAATGTTGGTGAAAGAGTCCGCAGAAGGCTCTGAAAGGAAAAACTCACAAGGAACCACAGTTATTTCTGAATATTCTACTACTGTTATTAATTTCTCTTTGATATTTTACAAATTTTCTTTTCAAAATATTATCAGAAAATTAAAAGTTCTCTTACTTACTCAGAATTCACAAATAAAATGGTGACATAACTGTGGCCAGGCAGATTTGAGTGTAGGTGAACCTGACACCTGCTTCTTTGCTCATGTTTACATCGGTTTTCTCTGTTGAAACCCTGTTTTCCTCATCTCACGTGAGACGTCCTTTGTGCATGCCCACACTCGGGGGCTACATTTCTTGACTCTCAGACTGTGACATTATTCAAGCATCCCTCTCTCTGTTGACAATTTCCCTCCTTCTGGATCACTACTATTAGCCCTAAATGTTTGTGATTATTTTCCTTTCATGTTGACAACAAACATATAACAGAAATGCTTCCTTGATATCTTTTCCATATTTAGCAAGGAAGATTTTTTTTTTGTTTTTTTCCCTGCATAGAGCAAATTTCTTAAGAGTACCATGACATGTTCTTCTGTTACTTTCTTCAAAATGGAAGTCAGTCCATTTGAATTTCATCCAAACTATTTGACCAAGAAGATTTCATTCATATCAGTAATTCAAGATGATAATATTATCAATTTTTAGTTATATTGTAGTTTGATTTATTGACTTGTTTCGACAAAGGTGAACTTCCCTTCGATGAAATACTCTCACTCTCATTAGATTTTTCTTCTAGTTTAGCTATCACTGTTTTATTTTTATGCTTCTGATTCTTCTCTCTATATTTTAATCTTTGGAGTGTGTATGAGGTCAAGCCTTTGGCCTTACTGCTCTGGTTAATACTGTTTTTTCACCCAGGTGGCTATAGAAATGATCTCCGTGATGAAAATTTTCAAATGTGTAACTCCGTTCTGAATTCTTTTCTGAATTCCACTGATATGTACCTAAACTCCTATTCATCATCCTCATTATCTTGTCAAGCAAATACAAAATTTAATATTTAATGTATTTTACTGAGCTCCCAATCTTATCTTCCTTCTCCAAACCTCTTCTTCCTATAGATTTTCCCATGTACATCACTAACAAATCCATATTTTCTTCTGTCTGGCATTTTGCTTATTCAATACAATCACCACCGTATGTGAAGATTTAATAAAACAATTCATATTGCACCAGCCACTTTCAGGTCAATTTTAATTATTCTCCAGCTTGACATGATGTTCAGTTCTGCAGATTCCCTAATTTCTGATTTCCTGTATTCTGTGAGCAAACACACACGAACACACACACACACACACACACACACACACACACACACACACACATACTCACCCCACATGAGAGCAGGAAATAATTTTATTAGAAGCTCAGAAATTATTTCTTGTTTTCCTTTTTTCCTTCTCAGGCCAACCAGTCACTGCTCTGAAGATCTTGTTGGTTCTGTATTAAAAGCTATCTGAACTCTTCTCGCTGCAATACCTCTGATTCTACTGACTTGGAACCCACCACCACTTGAATTTGTTTATAGTAGTGCAATATACACTTCCTGTTTATACTCTCTATTTATTTCAGTATGGCCTTACTGATCCTGTTAAAAATGAAAAGTCAGACACCATCCTGTCAGTGTCTTCTCATCTCAGTCCCTTGTCCTTTGCAGGTCTAACGCTGCACAAAGTTGCAAAACATTTGACCAAGATTTCCAGCTCCTCAGAATTAGCAGTCTTCTGGCTCCTGAATCAATCTGAGAAGATTCTATGGTCTCTAGGATTCCAGAATTCACCATCATTTTCTCATTACTAAATTTTTGTGTCACTTCAGTTCCAAAACTGTCGCTCTTCTACATCTACACACTAACAACTTTTGATCTTTTTCCTTTGTATTTCCACTATGCATAACGTAATTCAAGCACACAGCCTCAAATTCAGACTCTTAAAACTCAACTATAGTCTTTCAAGACTTTAATGTACACTTAAATTCATCAACTTCAGGTATCTGGCAATATTCAAGGGAACTGGAAAACTATCACGTTTCATAAAAGATGCTATAAAGATAAAGTACAATGACAATAAATCAGGAATGTTTAATAAAATGTGTGGATGAATGAAAATTTGGAGTTATATGTTCTAGTATGTTCTAGTTATATGATTATCATATATATATATATATATATATATATATATATATAATTTTTAATGGAGACTCAAACTTACCACCTAATGCTTTCCAGTCAGGCACTGTGCCACGGAGCTATATTTCTGGCCCTATATAAGATATTTTTAAACACAAAAATATTCAGGAAATTAAGAAAGTGTTCCTTGTTTAAGAAATGAAAGAAAAAGTATATAGGTAAAGATACACACTCTAAAAGATAATGAAATTTAGAACAAGAGACTGAAAGAATAAGTATAAATTTTCCTATACATCATGAAAAATGAATGCTATAATTGGAAATTTTGCATATTACTGTTTTTATGCAAAATATCTTATTTTTTTTTCTTTAAAGGTTTTTACCGCCTGACAGTCTCTGAATCTGCACCCATGGGGACAACTATAGGAAGAATTACAGCATATGACAATGACATAGGAGAAAATGCAGAAATGGAATACTTCATTGAAGGCGATGATTCTCAAACATTTGACATCATTACCAATAATGAAACTCAAGAAGGTATAGTTATATTAAAAAAGGTAAATACATTTAATCTATTTCCTTTGCAGGATAGTGCAAAATCAAATTAGAAATATGCATAATGATTTTGTGTACTTGGTTGATTTTTTGCTCCATTAAGTAATTGAAATGAAAATCCATGATTTACGGTTTAGGGAGAAATTGAGTTTCAAGATTAAATGTTCTTTAATAGCATTTTCTGAATGATATGAAGAAATGGTAAAGCAAAATATCTCAAATAAACATCTTTTTCTTAAAAATCTTAAATACCAGAAAATTAATTCTAAATTTCATATTTATACATATAAAATATAACTTTAAACCTCAATGAAAACAGGGAGCTCTCCTATGAAGAAGATAGGGACTAAGAAGTATTAGGATGAGGAGCATGTAGATGGGGAAGGCGGGGGAATGTAAACAGAATTATTAAAGGGTGTCATGTACATGGCATACTTTAATGTGCCATGGACCAGCCTTTCATAACGAATGTATTCACCAGGTGCTGTAAACATAAACTAATCAAAATGAAAACATAGTTAGTTTATTCATTTTGAATACAGAATTGTGATGAAACGCAAACAATATTTTATGCCATTTTAATGATATCAAAGGGATATATATATATATATATATATATATATATATAGAGAGAGAGAGAGAGAGAGAGAGAGTGCAAAACCAAACTGAAAAGTAAATGGTAATTAATCAAGAAAACTTTGCTCCCCTTTATAGTGTTTTGGGTTACTAAGGTCATTTATTCTGTGCATGCTGCTGTCTTTGTAGGAAGTGGATTTTGAGCAGCAGAACCATTATGGCATTAGAGCCAAAGTTAGAAACTGCCATGTAGAGAAGGAGCTCATGGAATACCACGAGGAAACTTCCAGCACTTACATTAGGGTCCAAGTGGAAGATGTTGATGAACCTCCTGTTTTTCTCCTTCCATATTATGTATTTGAAATTTTTGAAGAAAATCCACATGGATCATTCATAGGCACAGTGTCTGCCGTAGATCCAGATCAAAGGAAATCACCTATCAGGTAAGTCTTTCTGCATAGACTTGAGCTCTGCATTAGTAAATGGATAAACATCAATTGATGTGGAAATCAAGTGTTATGCAAATATAAGCAAGGATAGGCCTCAACTGTGTTTATTAGTATACTTAATATGTTTGCAATAATTTAAACACACAAGTTAAAATAGATTCACTGTTAACATGCATTGAAATAGGTAATTGCAAGCATGTGATAGAAGTAAGTTTAAAGAAGATAAATTTTTAAAATGTAAAGAAAATTATAATCCATCTCCTAACTAGCATAAGGACTGACAAGTTAGGTCAGAATAAAATCAATACTGGTCAAAATGAGGCTTAATTACTATTTAATTGAAATGTTGATCAAAAGTTGAACTTTTGCAAGGATGAGGAGTAAAAGTGGTATAGGTATAATGACTTGGAAACAGATGTATTACAATAGAAAACTGCTATCTATTAACATAGTCTGTTTTTTAGCTTTGCTATAATTTTCTTTTAAAGATGTGGGTTGTATTCTTTTGGATGTAAAAACAATTTTCTCGTTAACCTATCTTTCAAACACCACAACTGAGAATTATAGAAATTTTCCAGTATTGAATGAAACCTGATAAAGCTTTGCTCTGTGGAGACTTTGCTGTATACTGAAGGAGAGCTATTCATATTTGATGCAGGGGGATATTTCTACTGTTCATCTGTAATCTCTATTCATATGATGTGGCCTTTCAATATATAGCTCTTACTGGATTGTAGTGGTTTTAGAAATTGTGTGTGTTTAATTATGACTACAAAAATCAATTGTGTATGTAAAAATGTATGTAGCAAACTATTGTTCTTTTGCGAATGCAAACTAAAATAGAATTTAAAAATCCTGAATGATTAAGATTTTCAATGCATTATCATTTTAATAATAAATGGAAACTAATCTTAGGGATGTGATTAAAGAAAAAAATCATGAATAATTTATAATGATAATTATAAAGCATAAGTTAAAAACATGATACACATTTCATCACATAGAATTAAGATTTATCTCTATTTGAAAAAATACTATGCATAAATGAGAAAAAAATCAGAATAGAGCCAAACACTACAAGTTTTTTTTTTTTTTTGGTGTCACCATTTAGGGGTGCTTAACTTTTTGCAACTAAAATATTTTAATGATTATATTGAAAATAATTATTTTCAAATAATTTAAGTACCTATCAGAGGCAGGGCTTTCAATAATAAATTTCATTTGGAGTCGCGTTTTAAGTAAGGTAGTTTAAAACATGTATGTTGAGATCATCAAGTATACAGGAGTTTTCATTGTTCCTGTTTTCCTTCATGTAATAGAGCTTGATTTACTCAATCTACAAAATATATATGACCGGATCAATATATTGCAGAAGGACATTCTTTCTTCCTCCCTCTTTTTCTGTCTCTCCAGAAAACATATGTACACAAACTGTAAGATGGTTTCTATTTGAGCTATCATTTGACAATATGCTTCCCTTCTCATTCCATAATAAGAGTTGGAATAACCAAAGGAAATATTAAAATACTATATTTTATCCATGGTAATATTCCATTGCTTGGAGGAAAAATAGTAGCACATAATAAAGTAACGTTTTCCTCATTTAGTTTTCTATTTACTTCAAAAAATCCCATTTTACATATGATGAATCATTTGGTGTTTTGTGGAAGCATGAAAATTCCTAGCTTTGGTCTCAGTCAGTTCTAAATAGAATCAATAAACTAACTGAACGGAATGTTCTTGTTATTTGTTAAGGTCAGAAGAACTTTAGAGTAACATCTGCCCTGAAATGAATAAAATTAAGCTGCACAGTAAATATCTGAAAACAGCAGTGTGTATATAAAGGAATTGTGCCTTATTTAGACGTGAATGTGAACTGACGTAATTGTTGTAAGGATTCCAGGATCACTCTGTAACAACTACTATCCTGAAATTGAAAAGAAATTTAAAATATATGTCCCTTATAATTTTCAATTCATAACTAATATCATATAAATTACTATATCTATGCCCCCAAATTTATATTTCCAAATTTTAAAGCCTGATGTGACAGCGTTAGAAAATAGAATCAATGACAGGAATTCATTTTGAAGGGTAGAGTCTCCTTTACACAAGTGATCTTGGACAGCATTCCCATTCATTCCTCCATTTATGGATAAATAGAAAGCTGAGCAGTTTGCAATTGGATGGAAGTAACACCTTACCTGGACCCAACTCTTCCAGCAGCATCATCTTGCAATGCCGACCTTCATGAATTTGGTAAATAAATTGTGCTTTTTAAGAAATTTGTACTAGCAATTGAGATAGCACAATTATCAAATTACAGACACCAAGCATAAGAAATATAATTTTGTCATCATTTCTATAATTTATTCTTTGTGCACTTATGAAACTTTGTTTTAAGCTAAGCCTATACTCAAAGTTTGAACTATTTTGTGAGTGTAAGAAAGAAATTATTCTACTAGCAAAATTAGATCAAGTGAACCCAAAGGAAGAATATCAGAGAAACTAAAAAGATTTGATTAGAAAGATGAAAATAAAAAAAAAATAGTAAAATGATGTAGAGAGGCTGGTTCTATCCAAAACACCATAAAATTTGAAAAAAATATATTAATCTCTATCTAGATTTTGTTGATACATTGTGAGTCAGAAAAGGAGAGAGAGAGAGAGAGAGAGAGAGAGAGAGAGAGAAGAGAGAGAGGAGAGAGAGAGAGAGAGAGAGAGAGAGAGAGATTGACAGAGACTGAAAGACCAATGGGAGGGACAAAGACAGAAGTAGAGAGAGAAAAACATTAATTTTATCAGAAATAAAATAAAAAATTAGTAATCAAACAGATGCTAGAAAAATAATATGCAATAGTATGAACTCTTTGTCCACATATTCAGGTAATTTCTTAAAACTACAGAAATTTACATGAAAATATATATAATTTAATGAACCACATACACACAATTAGGAGCTTATATACACATGTATGCATACACATATATACATGCAGATATATGCCACAAATGTATAAATACCAAATGCACAGCATATTTTCCAAACTAAAGAAAAGTATCTTCTAGAACCCATTGCTATTGTTGTCAATATTCCCTTTAAAAATGGCTTGCCAGTCAAAAGTATCACAGGTCCTATATGCCACCAACAAGGTCTAGACAAGTAGAGCCAAAAACAGTACTAAAAGTACTTGAAACCTGCAATCATGAAGGGATAAGGAAAGAAGTAGCTCTGCAGTGCAAATTTGAGTCAAGAAAAAGAACAGATAACTTCATCTAGAAAACACAGAGTAGGCTTCCTTGTGGAGTCATGATAGAGTGTTCCTCATGCAGTCCGGGTTCTTTTATGCTGTCTACACCTTACAGGAGCCCATGAGAAATTCTACATACAGGACACTGAGCGTTATCTTGAGCTGCCCTGAGATTTTGAAATTACATCCTACCCATTTTTCGTGTCAGTTTGCCAAACCCTTCCTCCTATATCAATGTCACTGATAAATGCCACCAGTTATTACAAGCAAAGGACTGACCAGTAAGTATTCCACAAAAACAAGATGCAAATATTCCTGACAACATAACAGTAACTCCATATATTTGTAGGAAGGATACTATCCCACCACTGCTAGGGTCCATCGTAATACACACACACACACACACACACACACACACACACACACACACACACACACAAACACACACACACACACACACACACACACACACACACACACACATTTCATTTTAATTTCCTATATTAACAGATTAAAAAGATAACCCAATTCTATAGAGGAATACATGTTTAAATTAAATTTATTACAAAAATTACACATTACAAGTAGAAGAAAACACATCCACAAAAATTTCTGGCTAATATTATACTTACTGATTAGGTGCTAACTGATTTTCTTCAAAATTGAGAATAAGGTAGGATTACACTCTTGCACTATCTTAATACAACATTATACAAGAATTCTGAGGCCATGCAATAAATAAGAGAAATAAATATACCATTGGAAAGGAACAGAATATTCTGTTGGTGAAACGAATCAAAAGGGAAAGCAAATTTAGAAAAAAACTTTTAGTCTGGTTTGCTACAAAGCTATCATGAAAGATGATGGGGAGGTGTGATAAATTGCACAGAGCGGTTTAATTTATTTCCAGAAGACCTTTTTTTTTTTTTTTTACACTGATGATATCAAGATTTACAAAGATGCCTCATAAGAATTAGCAAGTTTATCAAAATAGAACACAAGTTTGTCATAAACTTTGTAGTGACTTGGCAGACACACTAGACAGCCTCCTCTGTGGCCTTTGCCAAAGGGGAAAAAAAAATACTGTTAAAGGTTTAATTCTATTTCCAAAAATATATGTTGCACCCTAACAGTGCTTCAGAATGTAACCTTCCTGGAAATTGGAGTAGTACAGTTTAATTCTTAAAAACAAGGCATAGAGGAGGAGCTTGGATCTTCAAAAAGCTTTATGTTCACATAAGGAGACATAAACCGATAGGAAGAGTTCAGCATGTGACGACGGAAGCAGAAGTTGAAGTGATGCATCTTCAATCTCAAGAACAGCAAGGACTGACAGAAAACAGCTGCAGATTGAAACGAACAGAAAAGGGAGGATTCCACAGTGCATGTTTCAGAGGAGTAATGACCTGAGAATGTAATTCTGTCATTTTTAGCCCCAAATCTGTGGTGTTTGTTACAGCAGATCTAGAAAACCACTGTCCTTAATTGACATGGAAGCCTATATCAGAAATTTACAGCAGTTGTACTTGTGGTAATCAAAGTCTTACACTGCCACTCCACTGATGGAATATTTAATAGGTGAATGGCCAAACACTAAAAGCATTCCGAAACTACCTTTAGTCCAGTCGACTACAAAGGTATCACAAAAGAAAAAGCTAGTAATTTTGTGTGTTATTACGGTATGATGGACTTTTCGAGATTCAATTATCTAAATTATATGGATTTTCTATTTTTTGGAGTATGTAGGTAAATTTGGGGAAAAGAAATGTTTTTGAGATATTCCTAAAGTGCCATATATACTATTATAAATGTATTCTTTTGTACTATAAATAAGTATCCTGACCAACATGACAGAGATGAAAAAAAGTAATAACTAGTGAATTGGGGGAGCTATTGTATTTGAAAATCTGTATAAAGCAGTGTGCACTGCACATGAATTAGTTTTTGAACGTGTTTGTGCTACTTTGCATGTATACCCTAGTTAAACAAACAAGGCCACATGCTGCAAATAAGGAAACCAAGATTTGCTATTGCTAAACAAAGCCACGGGAGTGAATACTGTGATATTAGACTTAGAATGTGAGAAATCATTACACACTAATGCCTTCTTAATAAAATTTTATAAATCAATAATCATGAAGAATTCTTTTCAGGATTCTCACAGGTGTAAAATATGCTTATTCTCAAATTCCTTGCATGAAATGTTGTAGTGTTTGTATATAGTCTCCTAGAATTTCAAATCATTGCTGTAAAATTTATAATATGTATACAATATACATACTACATACAATATACATAGTACATAAGTGGTTTTTATAAAGCATTTTTGTGGAATAAAGTTAAGAAAGATCTATAAATATTTATTATGAATACAATTTTTCCAAATGCATTTGTTCCATTGTTGCTTGAAGCTATTAATTTTCAAAGATATTAAGGACTCCTATGTATAGAAACAAATTTGTGAAAATTTATATAGTTTTTTTATTTGCCATGAATATGAATACATGAATATCTTACTGATGTTTCATCAGGGGAACTACAACCAATGGACCTCCAGAAACCATGGGAACTCTTTGCACCCTTCCTTTCTAATACCACTAGAGAATCTAAACTTGTATACACAGTAGAGAATTAACTGAATCCAGAGTTGTAGATTCAAAAGAAAGAACTTTAAAAAGAATGAAAGACAAACCTCAAAAGTTTTGAATATTAAACATCAACAAGTAAAGATACTTCGTTTACTATTCATGGAAAATGATTTTCATGCATTGTTTATATAATACATAAATGAATAATTTTTCATCAGCATAGCATTTTTGTGATTTTAAATGTAAAATGTAATAATAAAATAAGTCATTGTTAATATACCAAACTGGTAATTATTGCAGTCATCATTAATCTGTGTACAATATAATTAGTAGGTGTATGTTTGAGAAGAAACTAGACAGTTTCAAAATATTTTCTTGAGATTTCTATTAATTATAAAGGAAAGATAGTAAATTTACAGTGTAGAAATCTCACAGTCACCACCTTAATCAAGTGATGAAGGCTAATACTGCAATTAAAAACAGTGTTGATATAACGTACCCCTCCTATGGCACTGTTACAAAGACTCCACACTTATCTAATGTACCAGTTGTACCAAACTTTACCAAAAACTTACAGTCTTCATCTAATCCTAACAAAGTACAGAACAAACATGAACTAAGAAATACTCAACAGCCTCCCAATACTTTCAAAGTAAGAAAGGATTTCAAAGAAGACTGGGACATTGTAGAGCAGAACAAGGACACATGAAAATGAAACGTGAAGTGCATTCCTGCATTTGATAATGAAAAAGATAAAGATTACTAGTGGGAACGCTGGGGAAACCCAGCTGTCATTTGTAATACAGCTAATAAAATCATTACATTTGTCAGCTCTGAAACAATTAGAACACTATTGTTTTATTTAGGATTTTGCCAGGAAGTTACAGCCTTCACTCTGGTATGTTGACTTTAGAATAGTTACGAACGATTAAAATTGTTTCAAAATGTTTTTAATTGAATTGGTGAGAAAATTACTAATAAAGAAGCCGTCTCAGAAGATTCCTATGTACGCTTTCTAATTTTAAATAAAGTGAAGGAAAAATACACTTACAATTTAGTACAATGTTGGTCAACTAAATACAAGTTAAATCAAGGCCAAGAATATTTCAGCTAGTAAATGTGGAGTGAGGAAAAATATTTGCATTACTGAGATGTTTGATGCCAGAAGGGATTGAGAAGAATGCATGTTGCGTGTCATCTTTGTTATGTTGTGTAGCGCTCTTTCTATTGGCCCACATTTGTCTTGATTGCTGCTTAAATCTTAGTAGGATCCAGATTTGTCACATTTGTTCTTCTTCCTAATTTATAACAGGTTTTTATTAAGCTGTGAGAAACTACAACCTCTTGTCAAGATTTGGATGGGCTTTAGTTGAAAATATGTTTTATAAAAACAAGATTAGATTTTTAATACAAAATAACAACTGCTAAAATATTATTTAATTATTACCAACAAAATTATTGAGAGGGAAATGTGCTCACTTGTGGATATTTAAGCAAAATGATTCCATTTAAAATTGAATGTATTTAAACCTGAACTTTGCTAAAGTTTCATTATCTCTATTTTAATACTTCCTTGAATCCCAAGCTACAACTTACTGTAATATTTTTAGAAACATGTCACTTCAATATTTAAATATTCTCATTTTGCCACATAATTATGGAAAATCTCATTGATGTCTCATGAAAGTTTTGGAGAGTGTATTTGAGAGAAGCCATCACTGAAGCCTACTTATTATACTTCTTTAATTTTTATTATTAATCATTTTGCAAGCTGATGAAACACGCTGAGTACTTCCAAGGCTTCTTTTATTGTAGATTTGAGATCATTTTTCAGACTTTTCCTGGAGAAAGTTTTGTGAATTGGCTTTGTTCCATGCATCATGCATTATATGTATAAAATCAATACACACATACAAAAATGAGGGATAATAGATCTAAAGTGTTTTTGCCATCTGAAATATTATGCATTTCCTAGAAGAATTAGTCTATTGCTACATAAATAAAATTTACTTTTATCGAATATTATCTAAATACTTCATTTATATAAACAAATATAACTATCTTACTTACCAGCAGTCAAGTAATGATAATGTAATGCACAGCAATATCTTGGTACACTTAAGAGACTACGAACAATTTAGATTGAGAATATGCTTGCTTTGTTTCAAAGGAAAATAATAAAAAATTGAAAATTATTCATTGCTATCATTACTACTTTGTACTTCACATTGCAATAGGGTTTTGGCCTTTTCTTTTACTAAGTTAAATTCCTATTAAATTGTTCTCATAGACATGGGAATGAATAATAAGTACATGTTTAGACTTAGCTCAAGTCAATTGGAATCTAAATCCTTTATAGCTTTTTTTCCTATCTGCTAAGTTGAATCTTAAATACATAAATGCAAGCTTTTTACAATTGTTCTGCATTACAATAGCTATGTACAGCATGCATTTAACAATTGTTTTATTACTTAAAAAGAATATTACATATACAGTGAATATATATTTATTGTACATACGTATATACAATTACTATAAATAGAAGACAATAACATTAGAGAATACCTTCCTTTTCATGTAGATACTCTATTACCGGAAGCAAAGTGTTCAGTGTCCATGGCAATGGTACAATCATTAATACTGACCACCTTGACCGGGAGACCAGTGCTTGGTACAACCTAAGCGTCACAGCCATAGAAAGAGGTAAGCATTCCCTTGTGAATCACACAGTACTCACCACAGTTTTGAACCCTTCCAAAAATTTTAGATGTGAGGACAATGTTATTTTCCAATATTTTTGAGATTAGAGTTAAATGATACTTTATACAAAATGTCATTTGCATGCTGAATTTATTACCAACTGTTATCAGAGATTACTAACAAGCTTACCTTTAAATACCCTATTTACTTCCCTATGGTAGTAGGTATTGTTTAATTTAAAAATAGATGGAAGAAAATGCAAGATGTAAAATAATAAAATCACTTGCAATTCTTAAACACAGTCATTATGTGTTCTTAGAATGTCTCATTGCTATATTGTCATATCAACAAATTAAATATACATTTTGAATTTTTAAAATATACATTCTTCATGGATTCATTTTGTTTGGTTTGGTTTGGCTTTTTTAATTTTTTGTTTTCATTATGAGCTTAATAGTAAAAGAAGGTTGTATACTTTCCATAGAATTATTTTGTAAAAATAAAAGTTAAAAATTGAGAGAAGCTATGATACTATCGTAAAAATTGTTCTTAAATTTCAATTTAGACAGTTGTTAAATTATTTTACATATTGTTTTACTACTTTGAAAAATTTTAGAATTGAAATTCTAAATCTAAATTAAATTAAATTTCTTTCATAAGCATAATCATCTCAGAATGTCAGTTACAGAAGCCAAACACAGAATATCTGTGCTTTTTTTCTGTTTTAAGGTAAAATAGTAGAGTTAAATTTTATACATCAAGGAAAAATTAATACCCTATGTGGCCACTTAAAATGTAGGCACTTAAAAAATAAATGATATTTTGGTAATACTGTAGTATAGAACATGAAGGATTTAGAGAATATTTACTGGTGTATTCCACAAAACCAATAATTCACTTTCAAATTAAAATAATAGTTTTAGCTATGCTGATAGCTCAGCCTTAATCTGTAGTGACAGGCTGTTTTTGTTTGTTTGTTTGTTTGTTTTGTTTTTTTGTGACAGAATGATGATTCTTCCTTTCAATTTTAAAGGTAGATAAAATCATATGACTTATGATTCACATATTATCCATGAAATTACAAATCAGTTAGTCTGTCATTCATATTAACTAAAGTTTAAAGAAATAGTCACTCCATAGTGTAAGTTATTGTTAACATCATCCCATTATTTAGTAAACATAATTAATAAAGGATTAAATATCAAATTTTCTGAACTGTGTACTTTCTGATAACTAAGTGTGCACAAAGTTTCTAAAATTATCCTGGCCTTTTGAGGTACTGAGCAGGTATCTATCTTATTCCTCACTGTGTTGAATAGTTAACAGATGACATGGTAGCAGGTGACATATTCTCTGTGAAACACGGATATGGGTCTAGATTTTAAATTTTCAAACTGAACAATAAAGGATGGGGCATCAAAGCGGCCCAAAGAACAAATGCCTCCTGCAACAGAGAAACAAAACAAAACAAATGCCAAGCCTTTGGAGAAAGGAAAAACCACAAAGATGTTTATTCTAAGGACAAGAAACTTTTATTCATTGTGTACTTCTAAGAAAAAATTATTTATAGTGTCCTTCTCTGCAAAGCTATTGTGAAAAACAATTCAATTCAGTTCAAGGCAAGAGTGGACGTCTTTGAAAAAATATACCAGTATAATTCTTTATAAAATAACTTTTAGCTATTATATTTTATTATATTTTACTGATATTCTAGTACCAAAACTTCATTTTAAGAGATGTTTAAGACATTAGGACATTAGGAGATGGGAGATGTTTTTGTAAAAAAGGCATCATTTATTTTGTTAAATTAGATGCACAATCAACTCTTAGTAATTAGAATCTTTAAAATTTATAATTTACACTTTAAGATAAAAAATCCTCTTATTTTTTATGAATGAAAAAAGGAGACGAATCAATGGTTCAAAATTTGTCAGATATTTGTACCAAAAGTGAAATAATACTTTAATCAGCTGAATGGCATTCTATGAGATTTCCAGAACAAAATTATTGAAGTGAGTTTTGTTGGAATTTTATGATTTAAGGGGAGAAATGTATATTTCAGCTTTTCAAAATAAAACAAGAAAAAAAAACACAATTCTTTTAGTTACAAGATATCTTTTCAAAACTTTAAAGTTTCATTTTTGATAGATTTGTGGGAGAGGGCGGGAAGTAGGTACCAGGAATTGAACTCACCTTGCACCTGCCAGGCACTTATGCCACTGAGCTAAATCCCTGGCACCTTTATTTTCTTCTAATTAATAGTTAACTAGAAAGAGTTTAATAAAACTAAGGTGAATACGTTTCTTTGCAATCCACATCATTAAAACTACTTTAGATCTCTGTAGGAGAATATATGTTTAAATGTCACTCTCTTACAACCATGGTAGCAGTACCAGAAATTACACCTTTTAATATTTTAAAAGTACTCAAAGCAAACCATGTTATCATAGGGAAATAGGCCATTCCATAAAATCATTTCAGAAAATATTTGCTACATCTGATCAGTATAGTGAAATGTGTTCATCACAAAACAACACTGATTCCTGACGAGAGTTGATTCATTTTAACTTTTTTATTAAACTGAGTTCAGTGTGTGCTTAGTCTCTTTCTTTGAATGTTTCCTAAATTAAGCCCAGGCTATTTATCAATATGTCGCTCACTGAATACAATGATTTTTGAGCTAAATCTGTGAATATACGTGTACAATACTATCTCAGTCCAGGAATGCCTCTGCTTCCAAATAATTTGGTTAAGCATTGGAGAAAATTTGCTGTGTTTTCAAACTCTGCATAGGATGGCAAACTCAAGTGCAGTCCTCCTCCCCAAACACAAAAGCTTCTCTCTTTACCAAATCGTAAAGCAAATTAAGTTATTAAGCCAAGGTGTCACTGTGTGTATTTTGTATAATCATACCGAGGATTGAACTCATGATCTGGAGCTCGCCATGCAGGTTCTAAATCCCTGGCCCATAAACTTTTTAATTGGAACTTAATTTTGAAAACTTTTTCAGACATCAAGATACATGATTTAATGACCCTTTCATTAATCTTTTCAGTTTATTCATACCTGAAATCATTTTACAATTACTTGTTGAAGCAAAAATTGTTTTGTTGTGATATTTTATATTTAAACCATAGCAACTTTGAGCTTTCATTTTTGAACAATCCTTTGTTTTATAAATGTAACACAATAGAGGATCAGAATGATAATTCTGTTCTCCTTGTTTCATTAGGACCACAGGGTTTATGTATAAAATATGTGTATAATACTCATTTTTAATTAATTGAAAAGAATAGTTTTCAGTATAAGTGCAACTGTCTCTTGTTGGGGTAGTATGATTACCAAAATATACAATCCCAACTCAGAAAAATTGTCTAGGTGGGCATAGAAAAGCATTTCATTATTGAATGCATTAATCTCCAATGTCATGTGCGTTGAAGAAAATTCACTAAGGATCTGCAAAGACAGAACAAAAATCTTACCTTAATAAAATCAGATATAAACCTATTGCATAACTATGATAAATATAAACAACATTTAGATCTCAAGTAAAAAGATTTGCATCATTCATTTCACACAATTCATATTAAATTCACTGGATAACTGCTTGCTAACTGACTTATCAAAAACAAAGCTCAATTTTTATGTATCTTTCTGATAAAAGATAATTTAATGAACTGGAACAAGATATTTGCTGAAATCAGTCCTCCATCCTTCATGGAAACTTGGATATGGGGATGTTTTATTTTGAGTGATTACATTTCAAGAGATAGATCCCAGTGCTTGATGAAAGACAACCTTGTGCTGCAAAGTTAGGAAGAGGTGCATTTAAGTTTTAATGATTTTTCACACTTCTAAGAAACAGAAGAAAATGAATTTGTTATGCAAATTGTTTATGAAAAGAAATGTGAGGCAGTGCCTTACCATTGACAAAATTATGCAAAGATTAGAAATAGAGACATTAAAATAAATTCTAAAAAGTCCCAAAGTTCATTTGGCACTTTATAAAGCAGTCTTGATAGTTACAAGAGGCTCGGGCACATAATTAACACTGACTGATTAGCACTCAGGGACTCTCATAAGCATCCTACAATGTACAGATTAGCTACCTACAGCAAAGAATTTGTTCCCAAAAGTCAACGATGATGAATTTGAAAAATACTCTAGAAGGTCACTTGAAATTTTTGTATTATAATTCTTTAGATCATATTTTTTTTCTGAAATTTATTCCTATCAATTTTAAAGATTCAAAATTAGAACTATTAATATTGTATGTCATAGTAAAAAATTGTCCTTGGTTCTGGTTCATTTTTAATACACTTTTTGATATTAAAAAGTATACTTAACCATAGCTTCCTTCTTTTATGATTTGACATTTTTTTTTTTTTTTGATACCACGGATCAAGCTCATGACCTTGCACTTGCCAGGCAGACGCTGTGCTGTCAAGCTGCATCCTCAGCCCCATCTCTCAATTTCTTGACTCAGTGTTGTATAAATTCTTACCTGTATTTTATTATAGTCACTTTATTTAAAAGCAGAATATTAAACCAGGAATGGTGCTGCATGCCGGTAATCATCGCACTCAGAAGGCTGAGGCAGTGTAATCGCTTTGTTCAAGCTAGAGCCCAGCCTGTATAACATAGAGGGTTCAAGTCAGGTTTTGGAATATACACGAAACCTGTCTGAAAACAAAAATAATTACACCCCACATTCATTTTCATTTTCAAGAGCTGTACTGTAAAACTTTAGTTCTTCAGTGTATTGATTGCTAACTGCTTAAACAGCTATTTTACGCTTCAGCAAAATCTTGGGCATAATATTTAATATAAATGATTTCTCAGTGCTCTTATCAGTAACGTTATTAGGGCAGTAATGGCTCTATCGATCAGAATTAAACCGAACTGATACATATACCTTCAGCAGTTCCTAGAGTTCCCCAGGTCTTTCGCACATCTGTTACCTATTTTTCACAACACTCTGCCCATACACGTTCAAGGTACTAAACTATTGCTTGATTCAAACATATTGAACATGGAATGTTTTTAATGCTAATAAATTAGTAAAACATAGAGATGGTTTACTCTTCAGCTTATCCCCAGTAAAGTAAAAATATGCTACATAGCAGTGAAAGTTATTTTTGAAGATTTAAAAACAATTAATTTTTATTCAATTTACAGACAATGCACAACAGTTCTCTTCAGTCCCTGTGTATGTACAAGTGCTTAATATTAATGATAATGCTCCTGAGTTCTCACAATATTATGAGACTTATGTGTGTGAAAATGCAGACTATGGTCAGGTAAGAAATAATAAACTACCAATGCTTGAGCAATATGTAAGTCTTTCACATATTACGTGTTATAACATGCAGCATAATGCAGAATATTAATGTATATTTTATACTATGGAATTATATGTAATTAATTATATATTATAATTAACATAATAGTTGTGAATTAATACATGTTATATTTCATTTTGAAATATTAAAATATATTTTTATGTTGTGAGTTCCATGTAATTATGTACATTTCTATTTATTTAAATAAGATATAAATTTAAGCTCTCTACTTTTAAATTTTTGAAATTAAAAAAAGTCAACTGTGCACACTGGAAATTTATTATTAAAATACTGATAGCCACTTTGATGGACCTTGTCATTACATTCCAGTTTATTTCATACTTTCTCTGTCTAGAGCTCAGATTACTATTTTTAAAATATGAAACTAAAATATTTGTCTTTTTCAAGCTAATTTCTCAGCTCCAATATGTAACCTAAAATCATTCCTAAGACTCCGTGTATAATAGAATCCTATTAAATACTATATCCTATTTTCTAAAATGACCAGAAATTTTTATAATAATTGAGGTATAATGTATTTTAAGTATACTTGAATCTCTCAGTGAAGCTAACTGTAGCCCATTTGAAATTTACAAAGACAGAAATTACTTTTCTCAACCAATCAGTTGTACAGGCCAAAATTTTGCAATACTTTCAATTTTCTACAAAGAAAGAAAATAAGACTACAATAAATATAGGTATATATGAATTGATTATAAAACCATAATAAATTTGAAGTTTTCAATGAGTCTTATAAGCTCATGAGAATTTTATTCAGGTTAAAGTTGAATACAATTTACACTTTAATTCTCAAATCTTGCCTCTAATATTTTTTAAAACTAAGTTTGGGAATAATTATGGTTCTATATATTAAAATTACTTGAAAAATTTAAACTATTCCATTACAAATGGCTAAAACCCATAATTTATGAGAAAGTGAAAGATGTATATAAAACTTAGTCACTTTATCCATTCTCCCTAGATCTAATATTGAAGTAATTTAGAAATGTATGGACATATGATACAGGATAGTGAAGATCACAAGTAAGAATGAAAATAAATTACAAAGTCTTATTCCTAAATAAAGATGTTTAGCTTATATATTGCTTTCAACTGTGTTATAAGATTAAAACTTCACATCGTTGGTTTATCAAACATTGCAAACACTTCTGGTTTCTCGGACACATAGAGAAATTCATGAAGCAAATATTAAAAATTAACTCATGTAAACTTGATAAATGATTCCTGAAGTAAACTAGTGTTTTTATAATCTCGATAAATTTAAAACAATTAATTTTCTAACAAATATACATTAAATTTAAGTATTAAAAGCAAATTATATCTAAGCAATGCCTTAATTACAAATATAATGTAAAGTTATATATAGACATTCCTTGTTTAATGACTGAGTTCTGCACCTATGTCTCAGTCAGTAAGTGAGGAACAGTATATACTGTGTACCTTACAATATTCAGAACAAAGAGATTGTCAAAGGAAGTTCCAACTCAATGGCTTCGCTTTTATTTGTCTACCTTTTACCTGCAGTACTGTAATATATAACAGAATATAAAATTACAGTAAGATACATTACAATCAGCAAATATTACAGTACTACGTAAAGAAGGTACACTATAGTGTACCAAAAAAAAAAAAAAAGGCATTAATGCTTTATAAACAAGAAGTGAAGGGAAAAAAAAAAGACAGGTCTTAAATCTCAAAAATGCAGCACAGTGCTAAGTTCAAACAGTTGTTAAACAGGTAAGTCATTAACCAAAGAATGCCCATATTTTAGAATACTTAATAAAACTTTCAAGTTAAGGTCAACTTACTTTTAACTGATATATAAAAATAATTTTTGTAGTCATACCTATTACTGGGATAGTATATATGTTTCAATGCTTTTACAAATAGTGTAATATTTAACTTAGGTTAAATATATCTATTGAAAATTTATCCATTTTTATGATAAAAACTTTCACTATAATTTCTTCTAGCTTTCTAAAACATGTAAAACATTACAAATTCAGAGTATAGAATAGTATGATGTTATTTTACATTTAACATAGCTAAAATATATTCAAATTATCACATTTGTAACATAATATATTTTAAACTTTAAAAAATCTTTTAGTTCACTTCATCTTATATATACTTGTTTCAACAAATGCCTCAAGTGGTAAGTACATTTACAAACAAAGCAGTATAACAGTGGTATCAATTGTGCTGAAGTTATTGAGCAGATTTAGGGAAAAAAAGCAATGTATATAAAAACAGAACTGAAGTCTAGACCAAAGTACTAGATTTGGGCTAGGAGCATTTCCAGGTGTCCCCTTTACAGACCCAATGTCACACCTCTAATACCAACCCATACATACACAGAAGTGTAATTTGCTAATCACCTGGATGGCTTTCAAATCAATCTAGTTGACAGTTCTGCCTAATGGTGACAGTAGATCATTCTTTCATACATTTTATTCACTGATCCTGCTCCATAAGCCACAGCTCAGAAGTATATTTGTAATTCAGAGTATTAATCCGCTTCTTGGAAAATGACCACACATTTTATTCTTCTTGTTTGGTAACATTAGACCATGCTTCTAGACTCTCAATGTCAAGCAAAGATGAATTAATGGCAGACAGGAGACCAGATGAAATTTCTATGGCACAGTTTTATAATTTCAATGCTTAAAAATGTCAGTATGTTCTATCAACAGAGAACAATAAAAAAGAAACCATCTAATTTGGTATTTGCCAAAGATAATAACTTGATTGCAATTTTATGCATGTTGTTACTTTAAAATGTTTCTTCTCTTAACAAAATGGATACATCTTGATAACCACTAGGAACCAATCTAGTGTTCAGGTGAGAACTCCATGTTGGAAATAATTAATCTAACTTTATTAGTCTGATATGTGATGTTTGAAAATCTGTGTTCCATTGAGTTCCCTGAAAGAGTAAATGTGGGTAGAGAAGAAAAGAGTCTGAAAACTAAGTCCTGATTTAGGGTACTGGAAATTTCCAGGGAAATGTGACAACCTAGAAAACAAATTTCCAAGGAGAAGACAATTACTACTTGTTTTAATTGTCCCTTTTGTTTTGATCAGATAAGAGCAGAACATTCCTATTATATTTAACAATATATATTTTGGAGGTACTGAAATATCCATCATTAACGAAGGTTGTCATCCAGAAGGAAAATGCAGAATAAAAATATGAAAAGAACCAGAAGAATCTTTAGGGAGGGTAGAATTTATGGATCATGAAAAGGAATAGTTGAATCCGAAGGATAATGAGCATATCTAACCAATGTTGCGGGAAAGAAACAATAAAATATTTGGAACAAAAATTCATTCAGATCATTTTTTAGAAGGAAGTATGAATAGCCTTAACTCACAGGATTCCAGAGGAAAATTCTCCCAGTTTACCACAAAGTCAGATCCATTCCTTGTAAAATCTGTCATTTCCCTAAATAGTTTTTTAATCATATGAATTAAATAGTGACAGAGAAATGATTTACTAAAATATATGAATGACAAATGACACTGGATATTCATTGGGAACACTAAGGAAGATATTGTTCAGGACTAATTACATCAAGAGACAAATATATTGCAATAAATCACAAAGATAAACTCAATTCTTGTTAAAACAAAAGTCTGAAGGATTTTTACTTGTTATTTATATATTTATTTGTTCATTGTTTTGTGGTTTTCTGATGCGGCTGGTCTCAAAATTCCTAGACTCAAGCAAGTCTCCTACCTCATAATTGCAAATCATTTGACCTATCTTTGGAGAGTTTTAATTATTGTAACAGGCTAATGAAAAAGTACTGAAGACACATTAGTGGAGAGTGTGGTATGTTCGTTTGATTAGTCTGTGTTTTCAATTGACATTTTTGTGGAAGTTCGGCTCTTGCTATCCTAATGAGTCCAGAAGTTATGGACATTATCTTTCTTCATGGTTACATTTCAAAGGGATGAATGTTTCCCAGAACTTTGAGAAAGACAGTTAAACGTACAAAAAAGAGAGAGGTTCTGCTCAGAGCAAATTGGTCTACATTACAGAAAATCTGAGGTAGACTATGCAATAATAAACTTTCTAAAGTAAATTTGCTAAGAAATGAAATCTAGTTTAAAAGAATTCTGTTTAAACTTGGGAAGCTGAGGGAACGTTAAGGGGTCCCCAGTCAATAAAATGTAAACAAAAGTACTGCATATTGGTTAATATGGAATATTTACAGAGAATTTTAAATCTATAGTTGATATTTTATTGAAAAGTGAATGGCTATCTTTAGTCCATGATGACAAAAACGTGACATTTAGATCATGCTTCACCTAGATTAATCAATCCCATCAATGTTTTTCTACTTCTTTTTTTTTTTTTTTTTCTAGTCACATTTGGATACATGCTGCTTGGTGCAGTGTTTCATTGATAAAATGAATCAATAAGTTTTTCTATAAATATCTTGTAAAAGGTAAACTTTCACAGTGTATGCCTGTAATCCTCGCACTCTGAGAAGTGGAGGAAGGAAAACTGCAACTTCAAACCCACAGTGGATAATTTAGTGAAACACGATGTCAAAATTAAAATAAAATTAAAATTAAAAACACAAAGCAGGGCAGGAGATGCAGATCTATATTAAGGCCCGTGTTCAATGATTAATACCTTTTGAAAAATATAAAAAAAAAGATCATCTATTATATTTGTATTTAGCAAAACAGAAAAGAAATGATTCTTTTTACGAAGCACTGAGGGGTACATTGGTGAATGTCTTACAGACTGATTATTACATTTTCTCATTATACATAGAATTATATTGTGTACTTACTGATTTTCAATTTGAGAAAATTCATCTGGTGTATCATTACCTGGAATCACATAGCCTGAATTTTTGCTCACATGGTGAATTTCACTACCATCCATAGAAGACCACAGTGTTGGTTTCTGCATTTGATAT